AGACCAAGTCATCGCTTGGCCACCTCTCCTCTTCTTCCACCCACATCCCCGGCGAGTAAACAACGCACGTCGTGGAAGTCGATGGGCTGTCATGCGCAACACGTGGTCCAGCCATCGGAGCCTGGTGCGTGAAATGACGGTGCTGAGCGGTTCAGTTCCATTTCCTGTGTCGTAAAAAAGGCGTCGAACACGCCCGTTACTCACGCAGTGCTCCTACAAGACATGAGTTAAGCTGCGAAGGCACCGATGGTCGAAAGTGACTAGACTCTTCATGTCTGTCAACCTGATGGGCCAGATGTCACAACCGTATAAGAGGGTTGAACGGACCGCCGCATTGTACACTCTACACTTCAGAGCGAGAGTAATGTCGCGCCGCTGCCATAGGTGGCGAAGGTTAGCAAAAGCACTTCGAGCTTTTGCTATACGGTTCGTGATCTCGTCTTCGATCCCAAGGGCGCTGAAACAACTTCCCAGGTAGTTGAATTTCCGAACGACTTCTAGATAATCCCCACCGAGGGTCAGCGCAGGAGGCGATCCCGGCCAATCTTAGAGGAACGCTTTGCATTTCGATGATGCAAAGCAAAGCCTGAAGCGGCTGACAGCCAGTGCTAATCTGTCCAGCGCGGCTTGGCACGTCTGGGAGTTGTCACACATGAGGGCAATGTCGTCTGCATACTCCAAGTAGAGAAGTCGTTCTCCTGGAAGTAGCTCCACACCTTCCAAGTCATGTCCTGTAAATGCAATCTCCATGACTTCGTCAATAGCGAAGTTGAAGAGGAAAGGTGACAACGGGCATCCTTGTCTCACACCGCTGGATGTTTTGAAGGGTGGCGACAGCTTGCTGTAAGCCATCACTCTGCCCATGCAACGCGCGTATAATGCTCGGATAATATTCACATATTTCTCGGGCACACCTCTCCTGAGTAGACAATTCCAAAGGGTACATCGATCAACCCAATCGAAGGCACATTTGGTGTCGAGGAACGCGACTATGGAGGGCCGCCAATATATGTGACGGTGCTCCAACAACTGACGCAAGGTGAAGATGTGATCGATGTAGCCACGACCACGACGAAACCCGGCTTGCTCCTCACGAATCTGGCTTTCACGAGTGCCAGTCAGTCTGTGAAGGATGACAGAGGCAAGCAATTTGGAGGCGATGGAGATCAGACTGATTCCTCTATGGCTGCCGCATTCCGATCGTGAGCCTCCTTTGAAAATTGGGACTATGATGGAGCGGCTCCAATCGGTTGGGACAGTCTCCTGCTCCCACAGGTTTACCAGGAATTCATGTAAAGCATCAACAAGAACAGAGCCTCCGAATTTGAAGAGGGCTGGGGGAAGATCATGTGGTGCCGCGGCTTTGTTCAACTTCAACAGTCCGATCTCACGTTCGACTTCTGAGCGAGAGGGTGGATCCAAAGGGACAGCCCACGGAGCAGGGTGATCACTGGCCGGCGAAGAAGCAAACAATTCTAGCCGATTAAATTGCTTTCCAAAATGCTCAGCCCAACGTTCCAAACGTTTTGACAAATCGTGGATAGGCTGTCCACTCTCATCACATATAGTTTCACTAACACCAGGTCTCCTGCTGCCCGTTTCCCGTATCAGACGGAATAATTAACGATGGTTGCCAGGGGCAGCGGCCACTTCCATCTCTGACGCACGATGAGACCACCAAGATTCGTGGTCTCTCTTTAGGCTAGCAAGGAGTCTTGCGCGGAGCACTTTGCGCGTTTGTGTTCGCTTCCAGCTGGGATATGCCGGCGAGCGTCAATATGTTCCAGAGACCGCGAAGAGACAAAATATCCATGTTGGTTATTGGATATACCACATGAGGATTTGCCTACTGCTAGTAAGGTCTGGTGAACATGTGACCAGTGACCATCAATTGTCTCACAGCGTCGTCGTGGGCGTCCGCCAAAACGCATCCGCAGGTCAGCGCATACAAGTGCATCATCGGTGTCCACACATGTGCTCCAAATCGAGCGACAGTTCTGGATGCAGCCTCTCCAGCGGTAAGTGATAGCAATGTGATCGATCTGAGTCCAAGGCTGGTGGGTGCAAAGTCACCCTCCGGCGGGTGCTGTGTCGGAAGTTAGTGCTCACAAAAAACAAGCGGGCATCTTCACACAAATGAAGTAACCGCTCACCGTTATCATTACGGGAGCCTACACCGTGCTGACCCCGCCCTGATGCATTTCATCAATGGACAAATTTCCAACTTGTGCGCTCAGATTCCCAGCCAGCAGAACAGTGTCCGTGCTTCTTCTGTGGCTAAGGAGCTGGGTCAGTTGGCGGTAGAGGTCTTCTTTACCGGATTATTGCTACAGTTTGTGGGCGCGTAGGCAGCGATAATGAATGGACACCTATTAGTCCCACGCGACTTCGAAGCTTTGAATGAGCCAGTCAATCGGACCGCATACATCCGGCTACTGATTGGAATCCAATCAACGAGAGAAGCTTCAGCCCGGGACTCAGGGCAATGCCAACACCAGCTTGGCCGGTGCGCGAAGCTGCATCGCCACCGGATAGGCGCAATGAGAAACTACTGCTTGCGTCACCCGAACGGGATCGCAAAGTGAGCACAGAGCTCGAGGCTTGAAGGCGGGTCTCCGATATGCAGCAGCTGTCGATCGAGAGGGTCTCCAATGTTCGGGCAAGTGCTGCCTGTTGACAGATCTGTAGCAGTGTGCGTACATTGAGGCATGCCAATCTGAAGGAGGATCGTGGGCTCCAAATGGAAGCCGATGAACTGGAATGGACCACTTGGTTGGACATGGGCTTGTCGACAGCAGAGGAGTGACGCTCCGCGTTAGCATGTGAGTTGAAATTAGAAAATAAACGTCTAGCAAAGCATGTTGGAGGAGGGCCAAGAATCGGGGGGTTGAAAACTGGGGGATGAAAAAGCGGAAGTGGGGGAATAAGAAAACGGGAAGGCTTGAGCAGTAGCATCCAAACCCCTATCCACCCTGCTCGATGCAGCAGATAGGGCACCGTTAATTATCCTCTGCGATGGCCAGTGCATCAGATATTTGTTTGATGAGAGAACATGTTAAAAAACGGACTTATTCCAGAACTGGGCAACAGGTCTCCCATTATAAACTCAATGGTTTATGCAAGATGGAGCCCGCCCACACACTGCAAATGTTGTTCTTGATTACCTATGTGACTTGTTTTATGGGCAAGTAATGTCACATCGGTTTCCTGAGCGTCACCAAGGTGGGAGACAGTGGCTCACGTATAGCCATAACGTCAATCCATGTGATTTTTTCTTGTGGTGTTACTTGGAAGATAATTTCTTCGGGAGGAAGCCTGCAAGTGCAGCTCAACTCAGGGCTCTCATCATGAAGCTGTGACGTTTAATTTTGGAAGATATTTGTAGTAAGGTTGTGACAAGTGTAAAGGTTCGCTCGTAAGAGGTTGGGAAATAAAACGGTGATCACATTGAACACATACTGCGTTGAACAAAATTTGCGTTCTCATGCACTTAATTCGGCGCTAATTTTGTAATATTTTGATGATAAATACATGTGTAATGAACAAAACTAATGGCATGACTTTTGTGCGCCATCCTGTAACAGATTCCCACTAGCAAATAAGACATATAATCGTATGGATGCACCACGCTTCCATGGTGTGAGAGTGGTGCCATCTCAGTTAAACTGAGATAAACCGCGCGAGATTCGAAATGGACTGCAAAGGTCAGTTTATGTTCATTTTTGAGGGCAGCAAGCATAGGGGTCAGAGATGACCGCAACGTGTGTTGCGGTCAGCCACGCCCAACAACGAAGAGAACCTCGAACGTGGCTCGTATACAGCGGTTATATGGAGGTCAACAACAACAAGAATGGATATTGCTTGCCTAAGCAGAATACAAGACAAGGAGACTGTTGTCTACTCGAGAAATATGACCCAAACCAGTAGGAACAGTCCTAAGTGCAGCATGCACTGTCCAGGAGATGGCGGTTAATTGAGATAACTGCTCGACTGAGTCGAACATACAGAGCTGTAGGTGTATGTGTTTTAAAGTGTTATGGGGACCCAACATCCCCACAATGATCACAAGCTTAAACCATGGAAGGCAATGAGACTCGATTCAGACAAGTGCACATGTTTCGATCAGCCTTCCAACTCGTGGGAGATTTACGTTCGACTGAGCTTCGTACCTCAGAAAAGATTCCTGTATCCGGCTAACCTTCGTAATCATAAAAAATTATGCCTTTTTTACCTTAGAAACATTCAGTTTTACAGTCCAGCCTTCGCATCTATCAACATTCACTTTTCAACATGTTCCGCTGGCATATTTGCATAGTGCCAATTCAGTTGCTTCCGGGGTTTGCTTACGCAAAGCATTGGCATCATCGAGACATAAAAGAAACGCTGGACTGCGCTGTAATCGCCTTGAGCCTGACCGGTAAAAATGCTTAGACGGAAGGCCTGTCTTTTTGTCTTGTTCTCTCGGATTTGGGTAGCTGCGTGTGAAATTGCGTTCGGTCCAGAAGCCCGTTCAACTCGCACGTAGTAACCGTGTTGCGCCTAAGTCTCAGGGGTCGTATGACTACCAATTTTGTTGGTTACTTTGTCGTGTGTGAAATAGTTCCAAGCCACATTCGTTCGGCCGACTAGGAGAGTTGATACCAGATCGTCAGAGTGTGGTGTAACCAAGAGGCAGTTATAAGACAAAGATATTACAAGGACGCAGAACATGGCAGGCCGTGAGTTCTCATTGTCGAGTTAGCTCCCTACGCGTGACGTGGTATCAAACACATGTGGTTGTTAAAATTAATCTGGGCAGTGAGTTACCTGTGTGGAGTCCAATCTATAGGACGATAAATAACGCAGAAAAAACCAGTAAGCTGATACGTGCTGCTGTTACGAGATTGAGCACCACACGAAACGTATTGTTAGTACGCGAGCACATACACACACACCTCGCCGGATACTGAGGTGTTCCGAGCCTACATTCGATCGGCTCCAAGTGACGGCCAAACCCGTACCTTTAGTCGACTGCTGGCCAGTTGACAGATCCGTCCATAACTCCTTCGGGCCAAGATCGAGTGAGTACCGACTGTGATTTGGTTCACTCGATTGTGCGGGTCGGGCAGCCAGGTCCAAAGTGGGCGAATGAGATTCCGACGATATCTGGTTACGGCCGCCACGGCGTCGCGGGGACAACAGCGGCTCCAACAGGAGAAGGAATCCCATGTACAATGTCAGCGCAGAGATGATGACAAGAATGAGACATACAACAACCTTGAAAAATCAAAAGAACAACCGTTGTGTCAAAGGTATAAAATGGTAACAAGTGGGCAGGTATTTTGCATCATGGGCAACACACGCTGCCGCATAGCAAGTAAGAACCGGATATGATTCCGGGTTTATTGGCTACATATATATGATTTGAGATAATGACAAGTCAAAAGGGATGGTGGTCACATGACTAATACTTAGGTGAAGAAGTAGAACTGAACAACCGCAGACAAGTATATTGATGGGCGGACTGCGAAAAAGCAGAGTACATAACGCTCAATCCGATCACATGAGTTAAGGTTGCGATCAGTTTATGGTGGATGCGAGGCGCATGTGTTAAGGAGCACAGAGAAGTGTAGCACTATCTAATTAGAATAGTCTCACACGCATCGTTGACAGAAAAGAACAAAAAGCGACCGGTGAAATGTAGTGAGGAGCACGAATGAGAAAGTGATCAGAAAAGGACGCAAAACATCTGCGTACGCTTAGTTTCCGTTGACAGCAAGGATGACCGATACAGCCATTCGGGCCACGGTCCAGCCACTTCCTAAACCAGAAGTCAAAGACGTCTGGCAAAACTACGATGGAGAACCCGGCTACAGTAAGTACAGCCAAACATGGGGTAGAATAAAATGTTCATGAGAGAATAATATAACTGAATGTTCCTGGATTCTAGCTACTACCAGATGCGCCAACATCCGCTTGTTGGCTGCTCAAGTAGTGCGCTCACTAGAGGACATTGGTGAACTTCAAGGTAAAACATTTTCACCATTGGGCCAATCATCTCCGAGCGGTCTCCCTTAACACTTCCCCACGAAAAGTGATGTAGGGCTTTACTCTAGAATCCCGCTGTATTCGAACCAATGGCCTTCGTATTTAACATGTCCACTTAAGTTCGTTCTTTCTGTGGCCACTAGTTAAGGATATATGTCAAAATTCTCCAGCAGAATATTCAGTAATAGCGATACGCCAATGGTACCTTCCTGAATGCTGGTTGACCGCAGCTGGTGTGCGGATCTGGTCTAAATCATGGCAATGACTCGAACTTTATAGAGTAGTTACCCAAGTCTGCACTCGATCCAGCCTTATGTCAATTGTGGTCTTCCAGAGCGATAGTCTCTGACTAAATTACTGTGATAGAGAAGTGCTTGCGTTCGGTGCCAAAGGATGTGGCGCTTCTCCATTCTCGCAATCTTTTCTTGCGGGGCGATACGCTTCGGAAACAGCAATGGATTCATAGTATGTCTGCTGGTGACAGATGACTTGGTACCTTGGGGGTTGGAGTGGATCTGTGCGGTTCGTTCCCCCCAACTTTAACAGAGTCCGTTCAAACGTAGCAAGAAAGCGCTCCGTTTGCCCATTGGAATGAGGGTGAGACGGCGGCGAGCATAAGTGTGTGATACCGTTTTGGGTACAGTATTCGCCAAACGGTGAAGAGGCAAATTGAGGACCAATGCCAGTGACCAGAGTCCCCGGTATTCCATGCTGGGTGAAGTCTTATGTGTATGCTAATCGTGGCGCCATTTGTACGCTCCATACAGAACACGAAAGACCACTTACTGAAGTAATCAACAACAATAAGATACTGGCCACGCATAGTAGCAAAAATGTGATCCTCCCTGGCGGGTTTCGGTAAGCGAAAATGACCGACAATAAAGTCAAAAAGCAACTTTGATGGTTTCCTCGTTTCTGGCTAGCACAGCGTTAGGTACAGCACGTTTGCGTGACAGATCCAGGTTTGAGATCCAAGGAGCACAGCATAAATGACGTTTCCACGTTCGCATTTGATCTCACGTGAAGTCCGTGCTGCGTTGCCTTTCCGGTAGTCGTGTGCAAGCACTGAATCTCAGGGTTTGAGTGAGCGTTGCTTTGCTTCGTGTGGCCGACTGAACTGTTGCAAATAAAGATGATAGAAACTTTGACGCATCGGCTGTCTGTATTATACAGAAATGGTTTCTCCGGAACACATAAACAAGTTCTGACTAACTGTTTTCCAATTCCATTAGCGAATTCAAACAGGACACTAATTCACGAAGCACTATCAATGACTGGTTCAGACGTAGGGAGGAGGACGGAATTCAACCGTCCGGATGACTCCTGGAAAGTGCGACTTCTACTTCACAAATCTGGCACAAACGAACACTCTAGGTTGGTTGGATACATACCGCCAAAGCAGCCAGAAGAACTCAGCTTTGACGAACCGGCGTCACAATTAAGCGAAATTTTCGGTGAGTCACCACCAAAATTCAGCATTCGCTATCAGTGTCGAAAAAGTGTCAAGTGGGACAAAGACTGACAGACATAGTCAAACGTAAGTGCAAACGTTTCAAATTGCGCTCCTTGATAGATGGTCAATTCGAGTGTCTAATATTTATCAGTGCGTTACAGGCCCAGGAGGGTGCCGATTTCCGCACAAGACTAATCTCGAAGTAAGATCAAGAGCCAGACATGACGCCGAAGTCCCTTACGGCTGAATGCAAACAACTACTGACTCTGAAGCATGACACTGCTATGATCGAGAAAGTTTCATCAGCACAGCCGTGAAACGTCCATGTCGTGACATATTCCGTGCGAAAAAGGCTCAACACTCCCGTTTGGAAGTCACAGAACAGACCGCCAACTGAATGTTGGTCATTTGATCAGTGGCACTTTGCCAAATTGTCTAGTCGAGCACATTTGCTCGGGACAACAAGGAAGAACTCTGAAACCAGTCCCAACTACTAAACAGAAAAACGTTCCGTTCCATGAAGGTCAAACATACCGATGCAGACTCCCTGTCAGTCGTGAGCGCTTTCCAGAGTTCAAACCTCATAGATGTTTCATCACCGTACATACAAATGGGATTCTTTCGAGGTTCCAGTTTGACACAACTTTTGATATAACTATAATTCCTAAGAGCATATGGAAGCATATCAAGAGGCCAGGGAATGATGTTTCTGACAAAGTGGCTCATAACGCGTCCGGTGGAGTGCTGAATCTGGTTGAAAAAATTAGTTGCAAAAAATGTGTTCAACAGGGTGGAAAGGACTGGAACAAGCTACTTGATGGATCGACCGAAGCTCAGTCTACTTGCAACCGACTGGATCGAAAGGACTCTTAGATTTCCCACTGAATCAGATCAGTTGAGTCCGAGCGAATCCACACTCTTCGCGAAGTTAGTCGACAAGACAGGGACGATGAAGCAAAAATTCGCCTTCTTTCTTTAAGGTAGTCTCGGTCACTGCACAAAATTCGAGGCACGCTGTGCATGCGCCCAGGAGTCAAGTCATCCTTCAAGGCCAAAATCCCGGGCATCATATACAGCTATGTCAATAGTCGGTCAATAAATAGATCGACTAGAACGGTCCAGCGTCATCACACTTGTGAACTACTTGTCATGGGTCACACCCATTGTCGCAATGAAGAAAGCGAATGGCAAGGTATGCGTCTGTGCCAATTTCATAAATGACCTGAACACTGCGCTTGATGACCACTAGCATCCATTACGAATACCGGAAAACCTCTTAGAAACATTGAATGGTGGTAAGTGCTTTGACAAGCCTGATCTGTCTGGTACCGACCTCCAGGTGGATGTTGCCGAAAACTCGAGAGAGTTGCTGACAATCAACACTCATCGCGGGTTGCTACGGCACAATCGCTTGCCTGTTGGTATGAAAACGACGCCAGCTATTGTAAAACAATTGATGAATATCATGCCAAGGGGAGTTTCTGGAGCCGCCGCGCATCTGGATGATATCAGTGATGGGCCGAACACCGGAAGAGCAATTTCATCGGTTCTATGAAGTGCTTGATTTTATCCAGTGTCAGCTTAGAAAAGGATGGTCGTCGATCAGATCCAGAGAACACAGAAGCTACATAGAAAAAGCATCCGCCAACAGACCTACAATTATTACGTTCCTTTTGCAGTTGCATCAGTCCTTACAGCGCACTTTCGCTTCAGACGCATCGCCTGCGAGTTCAGCCGAAAAAGCTGCTGACCAAAGACTACGCATGGAACTGGGCGAAAACGTGCCAGAATGTCCTCGAACGAGTCCAGTCAACGTTGGCTTCATACCTGTTGCTGTCTGTCTGTACCTATACAAACCAAGATAAAATTGTTAAACAGCCTGTACACCGAAACAGTTTTAGGAAACGACTGTTATCGTGACCTGTGGAGTCACTTGAAACAACTCACCGGCAAAAATTCCAGTAGCTCACTCGGTATTGGGGATGCGTACAAACTCAACGCAGTTTAACTAATCAGCATCTAACACATTCTTCGTAACTTTCTTCCGCAGTACTGATTCTCCCGCCGTAGTTGATTACATCAGTGTTTACAGGGAACTCACAAGACTGAATGCAAACAAGGCCAGTGGCCCTGTCACTAAGTGCACCGAAAGAGTGTGCGGATGCATTACGGTCATTTCTGACAAAGATTTTTAACCGATGTTTAACCACGGGCACAATCCGCAACATTTGAAAAGCAGCCAGAATAACAGCTGTGCTTAGGGAGGAATAACAGAAGCATCGGCCAAATGTGTGCAACTCCGTGCTGTTGAAGGTGCTTTAAAAACTAATAGCTCACTGAAGGTTTACGAGCGATCATCAGGATAGCAAACCGTTTGTATACAAGCCAGAGTACTCCATGCTGGACGCCGTTTCGTATCTTATGAGTACCGTCGCATCTGCCTTTGATAAAAAAATGTAAGATCGTGCAACTTCTGTTTCTCGATCATACTAATGCCTTTTGGAGCGCTGACAGATCATTACTAGTGAATATGTTGATCGAAAATGGCGTTCCGCCATAGGTATGCAGTGTAATATGAGACTGCTTTACGAATCGCACACAGTTATATGGTGGAAGGTCTTTCGCAACTCCAGCCAATTGTGGGGTCTCACAAGGAGCAACTGTATCCGCTTTCTGTTTTCCCTATATGGTGAATGCCTACAAGCACCAAGCAGTTACATCAGATGCAAACAAGCTGATGTCGTCCTAGGGTGTATGACATCAGTAATTGAGGAAT